TCGTTCTTCACATTAGGGGTCCCGCGCTGCGGTGCAGAACCTCTGGAGGAGCTATAAGTTGTAACCAGATGCCCCCTAAGACATCACACCAGCCCGTCTCGTTTTGAAGCACCCCATCCTGCAGTTTTATCTGTTGCCCCATGAGATGCAGTGACAGATGATACATTTTCAAACGGGTTGCAAATTCCACTGGCATGACGACATTGTGGTCTGTAGGTTTACTGCCGTTGCATCCTCAAAGCAAGACCGTCTGGCATAAGAGCAGCTCTTTAAAGACATCCCTTTGTTCCTTTTTGCCTTGTCTTTAACTTTTTCGTGCATGCTAAGACTGCAAAATGTCAATGACAGCTCTGTTAAAATTGCCCAAAAAGTGCCTATGGCGTTCGTTTAGGGGTTCATGCTGTACTGGATCAATTATTTATGAATCTTTTATTCCCGTCGGTAATCGCATTGGTTCCACTGTACAATGTGACCGGCTCCTTGAAAGTGCATTCTTGCCATCACGCCGAATGAGTGCGCGAAGCGAGACCACCAAGGTGATCCCTCCATTTAATAGATGCTTAAATTGAGAGCCTGTTTAACACTTCTTCCTTAACAATAGGGATGAGTCACCTCCACTTTCATTTCTGCCGTAAGCTTTGAATCCATTGGGGAGGGTGGCATGAAAAGACAGACTCTTAAGAAGTGGGCGATCTCTGATCAGATGGCACAGTGGCACACAGGCTGTTCAATGGCCTATTTCACAGTGTTCAGGATAAGAATGAATATTTAAATGTCAGTCCATGTTAAACTGTACAATATGGGATATTACGCTTCAGGCTCCATATGTACACAAGTGCTGAAGCTGTGGCATTGTTCTAGTAAATGTCAGCCACAAAACATGGTATTGTCACAGAAAATTTGATACCATAATTTGTTCACCATTTGGGTTGGATTTCATTTTCTTTTGCATATTGAAAATAGAGAAGCGTATTATAGATATTCCATCGTTTTTTGGCGTTAGCGGCAGCCAGGCTGTTTACGGCAAAGTCTACTGCAATTTGATGAAGACTGTGAAGGTTGCACATAATTTTTGACCTTGCACTTCTTTCATTCTGGGAAGAAACACTCATTACTAAGGATACACCGATATTACAGTTCTCTCCAAAAAGTCGACACTCAGTTTCATGATATTGCCAATATTACAATTCAGTACAAGTAAAAATAAATTGTTGATGTTAATATATAGCTTATTAATAATAATGTAACATTAAAAAAAAAAAAAAAAAAGAATAATTTTTTTTTTATTTAAATGATGTTCCTTTTTGCCTTGTCTTTAACTTTTTCGTGCATGCTAAGACTGCAAAATGTCAATGACAGCTCTGTTAAAATTGCCCAAAAAGTGCCTATGGCGTTCGTTTAGGGGTTCATGCTGTACTGGATCAATTATTTATGAATCTTTTATTCCCGTCGGTAATCGCATTGGTTCCACTGTACAATGTGACCGGCTCCTTGAAAGTGCATTCTTGCCATCACGCCGAATGAGTGCGCGAAGCGAGACCACCAAGGTGATCCCTCCATTTAATAGATGCTTAAATTGAGAGCCTGTTTAACACTTCTTCCTTAACAATAGGGATGAGTCACCTCCACTTTCATTTCTGCCGTAAGCTTTGAATCCATTGGGGAGGGTGGCATGAAAAGACAGACTCTTAAGAAGTGGGCGATCTCTGATCAGATGGCACAGTGGCACACAGGCTGTTCAATGGCCTATTTCACAGTGTTCAGGATAAGAATGAATATTTAAATGTCAGTCCATGTTAAACTGTACAATATGGGATATTACGCTTCAGGCTCCATATGTACACAAGTGCTGAAGCTGTGGCATTGTTCTAGTAAATGTCAGCCACAAAACATGGTATTGTCACAGAAAATTTGATACCATAATTTGTTCACCATTTGGGTTGGATTTCATTTTCTTTTGCATATTGAAAATAGAGAAGCGTATTATAGATATTCCATCGTTTTTTGGCGTTAGCGGCAGCCAGGCTGTTTACGGCAAAGTCTACTGCAATTTGATGAAGACTGTGAAGGTTGCACATAATTTTTGACCTTGCACTTCTTTCATTCTGGGAAGAAACACTCATTACTAAGGATACACCGATATTACAGTTCTCTCCAAAAAGTCGACACTCAGTTTCATGATATTGCCAATATTACAATTCAGTACAAGTAAAAATAAATTGTTGATGTTAATATATAGCTTATTAATAATAATGTAACATTAAAAAAAAAAAAAAAAAAGTATAAATTTTTTTTTAATTAAATGATGTGTAATATTTATTGTTTTCAAATTTGTATTATTTTATTTATTTTTTATATAAATTTTATATAAATGTATAATTTCAAATATATAATAAATGTAATTAAAGTTTAATGACTTTTCTCTCCCCAAGAAGCACATGAATAATGTGTACCGCTGCGGCCTGTTTATTGTGGCTTGATGAAAGTGCTTCACGGGTTAGGGGTTGCTCAAAGGTCTTGCAGATGCCAAATGAATGCTATGTCACGGCGATACGATTTCGCTGAGGTCTTCAGAATCACACAGTTTTTCTTTTGGAGGGGGTAATCTGCTCTACCGGTGTCAGTTTTGATATCCCTTGACCTTATTTAAAGTCAAAAGTTGTGGTCAGGCCAAAAAAATAATCCTCTGCATTTTTTCCTTTGGCTTGTATTGTGCAATAACTATTGCCTTTCACCTTCAGGCATGTTACATTTATACAGGGTTAGTCCTGCATTCTGATGAAGTGCTAGTCATAGTGGGATTTGTTGTTTTGAGCAATGGACAATTTGTGGTCCTTTTGGTCAGCCTTGGGCTACCTTTTATTTATTCAGACTTTCAAGCATTTGTGGGTTCATTGGTGCTCTTGTGGTTTGTCTTTTCTCGGGTCCTTTTGTTTGTGGTTTAGGCATTCACCCATGTGAGACTTGTTTGCATGTCTGTGAGGCTTCATTGACTTCATCTGTCACCAGCCACACAGGTAGAGTCAAAACCAGACGGGATCTTGACAAAGGAAAGACAACAAACCTTCCCCTGGGGATTCACTTCTAGAGGTGGAGCCGTACATCGTCGGCACGTTTGATCAAAGGGGTTTCACACAGCGTCGGCACCCTCGCACACGAGATGTCTCACCCAGCTCTCATCACTTTATCATCCTTTTGTTGATGTGTAAGAGTACACATCAACACAAGAGAAGAGCTTGCCAGGCGGTTTATGTTCATGTTAGCAGAGGTTACAGGTCTGGACATGGCGCTGCTATTGATAGTTTTCACGTGACGTCACACCCTTATAGGAACGCCCACCTGGAGGGCAAAACGAAGATTGCTCCACTAACCGCCAGTTATTTTTACGCAGTTTGCGTTAAGTAGTAATGTAGTAAAATGCAGATATTAAAAGGCAAAATTCAGTAAACACCTTATTGCTTTTGTATATTTTGTACAGGCAAGCAAATGAAGCCAGAATATAAACGCAATGTGCAAAGTTTCACGTTAAATGGTTTCCCATAGAAAACCATTAGAATGAAAACACTGAACCATTAAAAAGCAGATCATATGGGTTTTTGAAAAATATCTCTTTTGCAGTTTATAACGTAGCTATCCTTAAATGAAAACAATCTGCAAAGTTGTTGATCAAAAAAGTGCATGATAAATAAAGATACTGTCTCTCAAAAGAGATTCGATTCTGAATCGCCTTAACGAGTCGTCATATTTTCGAATCTTTTGCCTGTTTACCGGTATACGTCACTGGGTAACACATTTGCATAATCCCCGCCTGCCCGCGAAATACGAACTGTCCTGCAAAGTTCAGCTCCAACCCTAATCAAACACACCTGAAGCAACTAATTAAGATCTTCAGGATCACTTAAAAATTAAAGGCAGGTGTGTTTGATTAGAGTTGGAGCTAAAATTTGCAGGACAGTCGATCACCAGGAGCAGGGTTGGGCATCCCTGATGTAGACTGACGTTGTTCAGATTACTTAATTTAATAATAAATAATGTAGTGTAGCGCACAGACTTTATAATCATTGTGAAATTGCTGTTTATCTTGCTGCACCGGCAGTTATAGGGTTAATGCGGGAGAGACGAGCGAGTTAGTTAGGCTGGTGCGCCTGTGATACAGCTGTTCTGTGTTCTAAAAGTTAAGACAGAGTGTCTTTTGTCTGTCGTTCTTCAAACATTACAGTAGTCATATTTTGGTTTACAAACTGTATTGTTTCATCAGTTAGTCACGTTAGTACTCGGCTAACGTACCCACCATTATTGTTTTAAGTGTTTAACGTTACAGTTTAGCAGCTAAACTTTAGCTGTGGGCACGATTCGCTTGCATAAGTGTTTTTGTATTTTATGCCATTATTATAAGAACGGATTGGAGCACTATATTATTGTTTTATGTAAAGGTGCTTTGTCAATGGTAGCGCTCGCTAACTTGCTCAAGGACTAGTGATGTCCGGTTCGCGAACGAATCGTTTAATTTAACCGGTTCTTCTTAGTGAACCGGTTGAACCAGTTCATCAAATCGGACTGAATCATTTGAAACAATCCGCGTCTCCAGTAAGCATTAATCCACAAATTACTTAAGTTATTCACTTTTTTAACGTGGCTGACACTCCCTATCCCTGATGTAGACTGACGTTGTTCAGATTACTTAATTTAATAATAAATAATGTAGTGTAGCGCACAAACTTTATAATCATTGTGAAATTGCTGTTTGTTTTGCTGCACCGGCAGTTATAGGGTTAATGCGGGAGAGACGAGCGAGTTAGTTTGGCTGGTGCGCCTGTGATACAGCTATTTTGCGTTCTGATTAAAAGTTAAGACAGAGCGTCTTTTGTCTGTCGTTCTTCAAACAGTACAGTAGACATATTTTGATTTACAAACTGTATTGTTTCATCAGTTAGCCACGTTAACACTCGGCTAACGTATCCACCATTATTGTTTTAAGCGTTCACAGTTTAGCAGCTAAACTTTAGCTGTGGGCACGATTCGCTTGCACAAGTGTTTTTGTATTTTATGTCATTATTATAAAAACGTATTGGAGCACTATATTCTT